GTCTTTGATCCATTTTGAGTTAGTTTTTGTGCATGGTGTGAGGTATGGGTCTTGTTTCAGTTTTTTGCAGATGGATATCCAGTTACACCAGCACCATTTGTTAGAGACTGTCTTTTCCCCAATTAACGTACTTTGGGCCTTTGTCAAATATCAGCTGCTCATAGGTGATTTATGTGTGGATTTTCAATTCTGTTCCACTGGTCTATGTATCTTGTTGTTGTACCAGTACCAGACTCTCTTGACTACCGTGGCAGGTATAATAGGTTCTAAAATCAGGTAGTGTGAGGCCTTCCACTTTGTTCTTCTTGAGTAATGCTTTTTTATTCGGGACCTCTTCCCTTTCCATACGAAGTTGGTGATTTATTTCTCCATCTCATTAAAAAATGCCGTTGGAATTTGGATTGGGATTGCATTGTATCTGTAGATCGCTTTGAGTAGAACTGACATTTTCACAATGTTGAGTCTTCCTATCCATGAGCAAAGTATGTTTTTCCACTTACGCAGGTCTCTTTTGGTTTCATGCAGTAGTGTCTTGTAGTTTTCATTGTATAGGTCTTTTACGTCTCTGGTTAGATTTATTCCTAAGTATTTTATCTTCTTGGAGGCTATTGTAAATGGTATTGCTTTGGCGATTTCCTCTTGGAAGTTCTCTTTGTTGGTGTAGAGGAATCCAACTGATTTTTCTATGTTTATCTTGTATCCTGATACTTTGCTGAAATCTTCTATTAGTTCCAGTATTTTTCATGTGGATTCTTTGGGGTTGTCTGTGTATAAGATCATATCATCTGCAAATAGGGATACTTTTACTTCTTCCCTACCAATTTGGATGCCGTTTATTTATTTTTCTAACCTAATTGCTCTGGCTGGGACCTCCAGCACAGTGTTGAATGAGAGTGGTGTCCTTGTCTGGTTCCTGTTCTCAAGGAGAATGCTTTCAAAGTCTCTCCATTTAGGATGATGTTGGCTGTTGGCTTTGTATAAATGCCCTTAATTATGTTGAGGAATTTCCCTTCTGTTCCTGTTTTGTTGAGAGTGTTTATGATGAATGGGTGTTGGACTTTGTCAAATGCCTTTTCTGCATCGATTGATAAGATCATGTGGTTCTTGTCTTTTGTTTTACTAATGTGATGGATTACTTTGATTGCTTTTCTAATGTTCAACCATCCCTGCATACCTGATATAAATCCCACTTGATCATGGTGAATTATTTTTTGGTATGTTGCTGAATTCTATTGGCTAGAATTTTGTTGTGGATCTTTGCGTCAATGTTCATGAGGGATATTGGTCTACAGTTTTCTT